GTTAAGAGGCTCGGGTTCGGCTCGTCCACAAATTTAACAAGCCGAACACGAACAAATATTTGTTCGCTCTTGTTCGGCTCGTTTTAGCTTGAAATACTACTGATCAATTATATATATATATATATATTTGATGAGCGGTAGTTTGAGCCAAAACGAGTCGAACACAAACAAACAAATCTTTGTTCGTGTTCAGCTCGTTCGCGAACAACGAGCCGTTTTAAGAGCCCTAACTGCAACTTATTGACAATCTGCTGATAAGCAGTTAATCCAGATAAGTTGTTGATCAGTAATTGATCCGTAGTTGATCCGGATAAGTTGTTTGGTTTGTGTTGTTGGAAAACAGATGATTTGTAGCTGATTGTGGATAAATGATCATTCTCTCCCTGTGTAGTAATGTTGTTTGTAGCTGATTGTGTATCCAAGTTTTCATTCCTACTGAGTAAAAATAGGATTTCAAAATGCAAACCAGCATTGATATGAAACACAAACACACCCATGTCCAACCAATAGCACACACACCCAAGTCCAACGTCTAACACCCAACCAAAGGCAACAGTCAACAGAGAGACACACACCCAATTCCAACCACCAGCACACACACCCCAAGGGCAACACCCAAGTCCAATATACAGCACCCAACCAAAGGCAACAGTCGAGAGAGAAAGCACAAAAAAGGAGAAATCCCAAAAATCAGAGAAAAAAGTCATTCCTTCGAATTTCACCATAAAGAGCACTGCAAACTTCTCACAACAAAGAAGAAAGCCAAATAAACTCACACAAAAGCCATTACATCGAAAATGACCACAGGAAAGACAACGTTAGTACTTACAATGCACCACAACCACGGATCGCAGAGAGGAAAGGAGGAGAAAGGCAACAATCGAGAGAGACACGTGAGAGAGAGGCGCGTGAGAGGGAGATGGGGGAGCGATCGAAATCCACGGGATGAGGGCAAAGAGAATCGAAGAGGCACCTAGGGCACGGGATGAGGGCAAGCTTGACGGGAGAGCAAAGAGGTTAGAAATTTCCTGCAATAGCGGGTTGTGGGTTCGAACCCACGGTCGGCAATTATTACAAAAAAAAAACGGAGAATCATGAAACGCACCAAAGACGGGGAAAACAAATGCCATGTCGGCATTTTGGGAATGCAAACGCGGTTGATAAGCTACGCCGAACTCAGCCTTAATCTTATAAGATTTATTATAGTATCCATAATATTCTTTTATTGGATGATATTTTTGAGCATTTATTCATTTTAACAAAAGAAACCCTAAAATTTTTATATGTATATATACTCACACTATCATAAATTTGATGTAAGATATTAAACCTATAACACAAAAGTATCACTTTCTTCTTAGCAAAATTGACTAACATTTATCAATTTCGCACCTGCTAAAATTGGAAATCATACACTTTCTCATTTTGTTACTATTCTAAATATCTGCTCAAAAGCTTTAACTCTAAATTAATGCACCTGTGAATCTAATTTTAAATATCATTTGTCATCAAATAAATCATCAATAGGAAAAGATGTTAACTTAATGTTGATCTTTGATGCAATCCTAAAGTTTTTATAAACTCTTCATTTTGCTCCATAAATAATGCTAATCAATGATTTCATATATACATATTTAATAACCTCAACATTAGGTGTGTCAAAAATTGAGCCGACGCGTCAACACAACTCGAACTCGGCTCGAAAAATCCAGGTAAATGTTGACCCGAATATTTTTAAAGTTGGGTTTGAGTTAGAGAATTTGACAAGTTTATTATTCGGACCGAGTTTGGGTTTACCCGAAAAACCCAAACATACCCCGAATAAGCACGAAAGTTCGAGTCGGGTTCGTGTCTTAGTTTTCAACCCGTTTATTATCTGAGTCGGGTTCAGGTTGACTTTATTCGGGTCGATTCATTCTTCGATCGGAACAAAACCCGACCCGCTGATTTGAATTGACACCCCTACTCAACATACCTAAATTCATGCCTTCTACAAAAATCGCTCGTTGGCAGACCTTCCTAGTAAGGGTGGTTCAAAATGATTATCTGATACCAATGTGATTTTTCAAAGCCTATGTCAGATAACTCAACCCCATAATTTCAATGTGAGAACAAGGACGAAATAGTCCCCCAACTATTTGTCAGGAGCCAAAATCATCCTACAGTACATAAAAGGCCAATTTAGCCAGCTAACTATTTAATAGATAAAAGGAGACTAACATAGTCACGGGAACCATTTTAGTCCTATCGAAATGGTCCGAGGAAAAAGTTGGCCATTTACATAGTTTGGGGCCATTTTGGCCACCTGCAAATAGTGGATGGACCATTTTTTATCATTTTCTCATCTCAATGTATTGCACATTTGATTCTCCTATGGTGATCAAAGTTTTGTCAATCTCATTTGCTATTAAAAATTGGTGACAATATATTGCTTCTCCTATCATTTGTCATCCTTAGAGATCCATTAACGAAACTATTACTTCTAAATACAAAACTCAAGAGGTATCACATTTGAGACCTAAACATTTTATGATTAAATTATAATGTTTTCATTCATTAAGTTATTAAAAAATGATTTATTTTTCAAGTAATTCTTTCATTTTTTCAATTTTTTAATTATAATTCTATTATCTTCAAGTCTATTGCATCGAAGTTGATAAAAGTTTTTAGATCTCTAGTCATTTATCTTAGTTGTTATATATGTCTCATTTTCTTATTTCTGTTGGATTACATCAGGGATCGACTTTAAGTCCATATCTTTTTGCTTTAGTTATGGATGGTATTACTGGACATCTACATGTGGATGTACCTTGGTGTATGCTTTTTGTTGATGATATCCTTCTCGTGGATAAAACGAGAGAAAAAGCCCAGGAAAAACTTGAATTATGGAGGTTTACATTGGAGTCCAAAGGCCTTCATTTAAGTAGAACTAAAACTGAATACATGGAATGTAATTTTAGTAATAATAGCTCTAGTGATAGAAGTGTGACCTTGGGTGATCAAATTGTTAAAATGTGGGAACGATTTAGATATCTTGGGTCCGTTGTTCAAATGGGTCCTGATATAAATGCGGATGTTAATAGTAGAATTCAAGTTGGTTGGTTGAAGTGGAGGAATGCTTCGGGCCTTTTGTGTGATAGAAAAGTACAATGTGGAGGAATGCTTCGGGCCTTTTGTGTGATAGAAAAGTACTGTTTAGACTGAAAGGAAAATTTTATAAGACGGTGGTGAGACCTGCAATGTTCTATAGAATTGAATGTTGGCCTTTAAAAGAGAAGCATAATAATAAGTTAAGTGTTGTCGAGATGAGAATGATTAGGTGGATGAGTGTCTTTACAAGTAGAGACAAAATGTGAAATGAATATAT